GAGGGAATGAGCCCAGTGCGTGTTCTGGAGTCTTGATTAGTTTACATGTCTAAATTTAGTCCAGCAGCTTTGCAGGGGTCAGACTGGGGAGAGATCCTGTATGCATGTTCACAAATGAATGCATAGTCATGCTGGACAAACCATTCAATTCTTGGTTAGTAAATGAATATTAAAGGGAACCTATTATGCCCCTTTTTACAAGATTTTATCTTAAGTTTTAGCTCAAAATTCACACGAAATAATGGTAACATTTTATAATAACTACAGTCTATTACCAAGCATTAGCATCTAGTGAATTCATTATTTGTTAAGCATTAACTCTACATTAATAAACGTTAGTAAGCAGTTTATAACTGCAGCTACAAATGCTCTATTCTTGACTTATAAGCACCTATATAATGTGGTTAATAATTGTATTTTCATACTTAGTTAATGATTTATATTTCATTACTAAATTAAGTATTGCATTATTTACAAATGAGTTGTATTTAAGAGTAGTTGAGGGTTTTTAGGATCATTCAAAATGATGATGATTTATAAACTATTGAAATCAACATTTATATATCTTATTATTCAGGCATATACTAATAGTTAACTAATATGTTAATAAATGCTTTATTAACTCAACTTCATGTGGTTTTGTGACCTAATCTAAAGTGGGGACTATTCATGCTTTATAAATCCCTTATAAATGACTATTACAGGGTCAGATTCAAATGAACTATAATCCTTGCAATCTTTTCTAAAAAGTAAAATTACTGTAAAGTTTAAACATTGCTGAATAACAGGAGTGTCAAAATACGACATAAAACTGGATAAAACAACTACAACAATATAATAATGTAAGATGCAATGTTTAAACTCTGCAGTGATTTTATTTTAGATCAGGTTGCAAAGATTTATTTTTTATTTGATGTACAGTTTCATTTGAGTATCTATAATTGAATAGGAATGAATAATGTCATTTTTCCTGTTTAGAATTTAACTGAGCCTTTATTTGTCATTTATAAAGGATGTATAAAGCATGAATAGTCCTCACTTTAGATTAGGTCACAAAACTAGATGAAGTTGAGTTAATAAAGCATTTATTAACATACATAGTAACCATTAATATATGCCTGAATAATAAGACATATAAATGTTGATTTCAATAGTTTATTAATCATTTACTAACTCATTCTGAATGATCCTAAAAACCCTCAACTACTCTTAAATACAACTGGTTTGTAAATAATGCAATACTTAATTTAGTAATGAAAAATAAATCATTAACTAAGTATGAAATTACAATTATTAAGCACATTATATAGGTGCTTATAAGTCAAGAATAGAGTATTTGTAGGTAGAGTTATAAACTGCTTACCAATGCTTATTAATGTAGAGTTAATGCTTAACAGATAATGAATTCACTATTTGCTAATGCTTAATAAATGATTTATAGTGTTCAGTTATTATGAAGTGTTACCGAAGTAATGTTTTAAAACTCTTTGAAACAGCCCCTTTTAGGCTTTGATCCAAACCGTGGCATTTTGGTGACTGTCGCTTTAAATTCAAATGAGATTGTGCTCTTTGCAAAAGAAGGCAGAGCTACAAAACCTCGGCTCGGTTCAAGGCAACTGTACATAGTGTAAGTACGCCCTTAGCTGTTGGTTGGGGCGAATGCTGCTGACAGAAATCGTCATTTCAAATTTAACGTGACCTTTAGTTTCTTTGTTTAATTGAGGAGTTACAATTAAATGTTGCAAATGAATCAGACTTTTAAAATGAAAATACTGTTAGTTAACAGATAGAAGACAATTCACATGACATCGGTGAGCAAATCAAGGCAAAGGCAGGAACTAGCGTATTCAGCATTAAACTCTATTGTGCTATAAATGGGATTATGTATTTACTATAATTAGTTCATTATAAAACTACTTTTAATGTAATGCGGTTTGATATATTTAACTTCGGTCCACAGCCCTCAATCAAGTTTGGTTTTTGGCCTTTAATAAGAAAAAGTTTGGGCCCCCCTGGGTTCCATTTAAACCCATTTAGATGTTCCACTAGTAGTGGACACTTTTTAGACTAGTTAATGAAGTAGATCCGAGTCAACTAGTCAAAGTGAAGTTAGCAAGTAAAGGGCAAAAAATAATTTGACACTTCTACAAATGTCTGCTCCCTCAAATAATGGATACGGATACAGCCCCTGCCTTCCCTTTGCCTGCTGTAACAGTTTCTTTCACATCCCTTTAAGCTTTGCTTGTGTTACCTGATCTCGGTTCCCTATTTGTGAGTAGGGCAGCTCCCCTGTCATTAACTCAAACAGCACGATGCCATACGAATACACATCTGATTGGAAACTGTAGGGGTTGTTGTCCTGCATTCGGATCACCTCAGGTGCCTGATGAGGAAAAAGCATAATGTCGTAATGAGATGCTGCTTTAAAATCTGAAAGATGCAGGAAAAATATAGGATTAACTGTGCTGACCATCCATAAAATAGATCCTGAAGGTTGTTCCACCTGTTGAGAACCACTCCACCTGGCCTTCACGGTTGCCAGTCCAAAATCTCCAATCTTCACTGTCAGGCCTTCATGTAAGAAGATGTCTGATCTTGAGTTAAAGTCAAAGTTTAGGAGCTTTTGGCAGACTGCATGAAAGTTTGTACAATATGTGCTGCTTCAACCAAGAGCAGCTCGGGAGGTCGGGAAGGTGGAAGCAGTTACATATTTTCATTAAGACCCATTCATGCAGTGTTGCTGTAATTAGTTTATTTCATTAACAGTTACTTATAATGTATTTGCCTTCAAAACTGTACATCATCTCAACAGTTCTTAATAAATCTATACAGAGAAGCAGAGTAAAAGAGTAGTAGTGTTGATATACAAACATATTTTGCAGAATAATTACATTTTTAGTTAAAGAAGGTTACATTAATCAAAATGTTTGCACATGTTTAAGGAAAAAAGTCAAAAATTAGTTGATGATATCACATGGTATAAATTTGGATCTGAGCACCATAGTAATTGAGTATTATTACTCAATTTATTACTCGTAAAAGGGTTTACGGAGAATGGTCTGAACAAGTGAAAATATCCAGTGATCGTCAGTTCTGTGGGGAAAATGCCTTGTTGATGCTAGAGATCAAAGGAGAATGACCAGACTGGTTTAAGCTGATAAAAAGGCAACAGTAACTCAAATAAGCACTCGTTACAACTGAGGTGTGCAGAGGAGCATCTCTGAACACACAACACTCCAACCTTGAGGCGGATGGGCTACAGCAGCAGAAGCCACTCCTGTCAGCTAAGGCCAGGGAACTGAGGCTACAATTCACACAGGCTCACCAAAACTGGAACACAGAACACTGGAAAAATATTGCCTGGTCTGATGAGCCTCTATTTCTGCTGCGACATTTGGATGGTCTGATCAGGATTTGTCGTCAACAACATGAAAGCATTGATCCATCCTGCCTTGTATTAACGATTCAGGCTAGTGGTGATTGTGTAATGGTGTGGGGGATATTTTCTTGGCACACTTTGGGCCCATTAGTAGCAATTGAGCATTGTGTCAACACCACAGCCTACCTGAGGATTGTTGCTGACCATGTCCATCCCTTTATGACCACAGTGTACCCATCTTCTGATGGCTAATTTCAGCAGGATATCACGCCATGTCATAAAGCATGAATCATCTCAGACTGGTTTCTTGAATATGACAATGAGTTCACTGTACTCAAATGCCCTCCACAGTCACCAGATCTCAATCCAATAGAGCACCTTTGGTATGTGGTGGAACGGGAGATTCACATCATAGATGTGCAGCTGAGAAATCTGCAGCATGTGATGCTATCATGTCAATATGGACCAAAATCTCTGAGGAATATTTCCAGTACCTTGTTGAATCTTTGCCACGAAGGATTAAAGCAGTTCTGAAGGCAAAAGAGGGTCCAACTTGGTACTACTAAGGTGTACCTAATAAAGTGGATGGTAAGTCTATATTATTAGCCCCCCTGTTTATTTTTTTCCCCAATTTCTGTTTAATGGAGGAAAGATTTTTTTCAACACATTTCTAAAACATAATAGTTTTAGTAACTCATCTCTAATAACTGATTTATTTTATCTTAGCAATTATGACAGTAAATAATATTTTACTAGATATTTTTAAGATACTAATATTCGGCTTAAAGTGACATTTAAAGGATTAACTCGGTTTATTAAGTTAACAAGGCAGGTTAGGGTAATTAGGCAAGTCATTGTATAATGATGGTTTGTTCTGTTGACCGAAAAATTGTTCTGTTGATCGAAAAATATATATAGCTTAAAGGGGCTAATAGTTTTGACCTTAAAATTTTATTATTATTTTTTTATTAAAAACTGCTTTTATTCTAGCCGGAATAAAACAAATTAAACTTTCTCCCGAATAAATAAATAAATAAATAAATAAATAAATAAATACATAAATAAATAAATAAATAAATAAATAAATATATATATATATATATATATAACATTCTGCATTTAATTCTATCCTAGTCAGAAAATGTGTAAAGTAGGCATTGCAATTATGTAAAGTGCTTAGCAGTTTTGTGTGCAGTATGCATCAGATGCTTTACGAGTGGTCGATGAGCACTAAAGACTAAATTTAACTAAACTATCCCATTACTAAAACTATCCCATCTGCCTTTAGATCAAAAAGAAAAAACTAAAGAGTTACATCTCAAGGATACTGTTGGATTTCATGTCACGGTGGATGATGTTTTTCGCATGTAGATAGCTGGAAGGTAACAAACATGATAAATTGTTGTTAAGAGATTTACAGTGAAATTACCACATTCATGGAAAACAAATCCATCATTCACAGTCATCTCATATCCTGATAAATATATGTGAATTTAAAATACTATATACTGTACTATATACTGTAAAATACTGTAATATTTATAACATGACCACATGTAAAGGTTTTATTTTTATTTTAAAGCTTTGTTTAAAATTTACTTACGTGATAACGTCTCACAAAAAATTTAAATATAAAATTAATACAATATAAATTACTTTCTTAAAAAAACTAATAGTTCAACATAAACAAAAAAATGCTAAAGAAAATGCAAAATGTACATTTATTAAAAGAAATTGTACTTTTAAGATCACAACTTTCTCGCGATGCTGTTATTCATGTTTCTGCATCCACGTAATGACATAGTAGTATTGTGCTCATTTAAATTATGAAAATGTATTAGCTTAAATGATGCAACACTTCGATATAAGCAATAGAGCATAATATAAAACAAACAAATCTTCATTTTTTGTCCATGATATATACACACATATTGCACAGCCCTACTTCACAGGATGTAAAAAACACTCACTCCATGCCCTGAGCAGTCTGTCTGGCGATATCTATCAGCTGAAACATCTGGAAGTTGGTCTCCAGTACGTGGAGGTGTTTATACAGACTGCTGCCTTCACACCACTGCGTTACAATGGCAAGATTTCCTTTTGTCATGTAGCCCATGAACAACAGAATGTTGACATGTCTGGTTTTCCTATTGGCAGCAAAAAAACAGACTAAGAACACAAAGAGCTGATACATCAAATTTGACTCACAAGTAGGCGCACACCGAATCTATATTAATATATATATATACCCAGATAATATATATATATATATATACCCGGATATATATATTAAAAAACACTCTGCCTCCTAACGACTAGGAACTATGACGTCAATTTGTATGCAAAAACCCGGAAGCGAGTTAGCATTTTAGCAGTTCCGGTACCCTCGTCCTAAAGTCAATGGATTTTTTCTATGGGATTTCAGTAAAATCGCTTAAATAAGGTTTGTGGCTAACACAAACTCGAGATACTTTCACTTTTTACTCTACGACATAAAACACATCAGTTACATCACACTCCTGATCTTTAAAATCAGTAGCGCTTCTTGCTAGACGGTTGCTATCAAGTTGCTAAATGGGACTACAGGCGGTGTCTGAGACATTATACGTCCTTAAGCTGAGCTGGTCTGGAGCGCACGTGGGTCTTATACAGATGTGTTTTTGCGTATTTATTTGTTTATAATATATAGCGTGGATTATAATGTAACAAACTGAGAGAGTAAGTCTTTGTCATGGGCCATATTTCTAAAAATAAGCTTGAAAAGTTGTCTGGAGCAGGGTGGTGCTGTCTGTTTAAAGCCTAATGTTAGCTTCTCAGTTCTAGCGTTTGCATTTAAGATCTAAGGGCCTACTCACACTATGCCATCCGTACCGTGCCCAGGGCCGTTTCCCGGATCGTTTGAGAAGTGTGAGTGCGCTGAATCGGGCTCAAGTTGGCCCGGTTGGAAGTGGTGGGCCTGAGCGCGGTTCACTTGGTACATTTGTAGTGTGAGTGCAAAACACGCAAAGCCCGAAACTGAAAGCGAGACGTGACTTTTAAGGGACTGTTTCATTTGGATTTATTAATCATTCTTACTGTTCAGTGAACGCAAACTGCCGTAGTTTATTAAAGACGCAAACCCCTCACTGCACGACTGCTGCGCGCCTTCAGCAGACCTCCTCATTCCTGCAGCACGAGGGATTTATGATTGTTTATGAGCGCCAAAAGTGGCGGATCTGTTCGGCGAAATATCTGACTGCGTGTCACCGCATCCCTAAGGACTGTTTGGCGAAATATTTGACTGCATGTCACTGCATATTAAACGACTGAAACGATATAACTAGAGAAATCTCCACTGTGCTGCCAAGTGACAGCGCTTCTCACTGAACAGCGCAGCAGCGATGACGTAAGCGTGCCCAGGCCCGATTGTGGTGTGAGTGCGGGCCGTCGGGGGAGACAGGAGGGGGGACAAGCATGCTTTGGCACAGTTCGAGGCAACTGCACCTAGTGTAAGTACGGCCTAAAAGTGCTAAAAGTTGTATTTTTGTGTAGGGAATAGCCGGTTGTACAAAACGAGTAAGTGTAATGAACAGTGTTTATACACAGAGCTTATAATTTGCGGTCCCACTTTATATTAAGTGGCTTTAACTAATATGTACTTACACAGGAATTAATAGTTTGTTACAATGTACTTATTGTGTAAATACATGTATTTACTGTGTACTTATGCTTGATTAAATACATGCATGTAATTACATCTGTATTTAACTTTTGTAATTACATTTGTAAATACACTGTTGACCATTCCTTACACCTTAACCCACCCTTAAACCTACCCATTACACCAAACCTGTTCAAATCTCAACCTCTATCCCAACTCAAAAGCACCACAAGTGTTCTCAAATACATTATAAACACAGTAAGTACATTGCATTTATTTTTTAATGTAAGTACATAGTAGTTAAGGACACTTAATATAAAGTGGGACCTAATTTGCAGTGTTTGAAAAGCCTATGGGAAAATCCTATAGGGATTTTGTTGAGGGAACCAGTTTTATGCTAGCAGCTGATTAGCCTACAAGGTGACGTCAAAGTTCCTCCACTCTATTCCCTGAGCACTAACAGTTTCTTTGTAATATTAACACTTCTTGTGTGTATTGCCTCTTGTTGAATTGCTAAATGCCTCTTCAACTGTAAGTTGCTTTAGACAAAAGCATCTGCTAAATGACTAAATGAATACTAAATGAATTTGTCCTGGGACTGCACATTAAAATGAAACCACTGACATTCAAAAGCCATCAACAAAACAAAACCTGCACTGATGTACTAATAATCAAGAAGAAATGCTTACCTAAGAACTGCCACCTCGTTGCGGAAAGCCTGAAACTGCTCTGGTGTTGGGTTGGTGACTTTTAATACCTTCACAGCCACATCACCTACAGCATGTTAAAGATAACAGTCATAATGTGTCCCTAAGAAGGCTATTTTACTGAAAGAAGCACTAAACCGATGCTTACCGTGCCATTTCCCTTTGTGTACGGTTCCAAAGGAGCCTGACCCAATCCTGCTCAGTAGCACAACCTCATTAGCTTCGATCTCCCAGTAATAACTCGAGTCCCGTTTATCCCTCGGCCGCTAGAAAACAATAACTCATGTTAAGAACCACAAGAAAGCACGCTGAAATAACAAAATCATATTTCTTCCTCAAAACACTTTTTAAAATGAACGTTTAGCATTGAGAAATTCCTCTCAAAATTAATCACATTTTCAAATCACCGTAATAAATAATTAATGTGTAAATATTATTGAAGTATTCGTTCATTTTTGAAGACTAAATAAAGCTGTTTATATAATAAAGGTATTACAGTTGATAGCTGATGTCTAGAAGAGTTCAGCTTGTATGTCGCACTACTTGTTTTTTAAACTTTAAATACCTCTTTTAAAAAATCTTGCGCAACATTGTTCTGGCTTATGTAAAAGTACTTATATAGCATGCCTCAGGTAATTTGTTTATTTAAGTATTTATAGTATACTCTGTAAAAAAAATCTGTAATTTTACAGTTTATTTTCGGCAGCTGGGGTGCCCCCCCCCCAAAAAAAACGTAAAATAACGGCTGTTAAATTACAGAAATTTACAGTAAAATAACAGACATTCAATTATAGAAATTTACAGTAAAATAACAGACATTCAAATACAGAAATTTACAGTAAAATAACAGACATTCAATTATAGAATTTTTCTGTAAAATAACAGACATTCAATTACAGAAATTTACTGTAAAATAACAGACATTCAATTACAGAAATTTACTGTAAAATAACAGACATTCAATTACAGGAATTTACTTAAATTTTAAATTTCAGGCAAATTTCTGTAATTCAACCTGCTTTATGTATTTAAAATGTGTAAAATGTGTTTATTAAAGTTAGAAAGGGCTTTCAGCGCCAATGGACTGATTTCACGCGGCCACCATTTTAAACAGCGAAATCGAGGCTGGTGGGAAGAAACCCGGAATTATCAGAATAACAACAGGAATGTTGTGTGCCTGGCTGTATATCTTATCAGCGAAGAGAAATCGACAAAAATGTATACTTTCACCACCTTCCGAGTGACTCAAAGGTCCGTTCTGAATGAATAGTGAAAATAAAAAGGGATTGTACCTTATTTTTAGCTAAGTTAAGGGAAATGGCACTAGTTAGCTAACGTTTTCTTTCCCAAACAAAAGATGTTTCATGAGTTGGCTTTTAATGCCAACTCATGAAACTCAAGTTAATGAACTGATTCTTTCACTATATTAGACTTGTCACAATACAAAATTTCGGTACTAAAATAAACAAAAAAAATGTCCATTTCCTGTTAACATTTAAGGCACTGTTGATGGCTTTCTTAAACAGCGCTGATTTGCCATTGCGTTCAACATGCTCAACAAAAATGACTGCGATTGGCCAGGAAGGTCATCAGTTCACCGCTCTTCACCGATGTTTACCAGGGACAAACACAAACGAGCAATCAGCGGATAAATAGACTGATCTTCACGGCTTTAAATGCTCCAATGTCCATGTATCTCTGCTTGTATTCGGTGAAGAGCGGTGAGCTGATGAGCGTATAAAGCACTGGTGAACACTATGGCTAATCAGCGGTGTTTATGAGCGCACTCAGTGGCACTTAAATGTTAGCGGGAATTGGACGTTTTTAAAACTTTAGTCCCGGGACAACACTATTACAGACAACACGTGGGTGTGCTATAGAGGACTGCAATGTTTTATCGCTCACCAGGTTGCATAGACTGAATCAGGGAAGCGTCCCCACGTTGTTTACCTGCTGCCATGAACCGAAACCTAGGAGGACACTTAAACCTATTACTCTGAAAGAGATTGTAATGTTGTTTGATGCCTGATATGCTTTTAATTGTTTAAATTAAACTGCACTGAATGATATTAAAGTGTTGTTTACACCATTTCTCCTTTTTGAAATCGTGGCAACAGCTGGGGGTTTATAGTACACAGCATGTTGCTGCAATGTTTACAGTGCTGATCCTATACTTTGGGGTTTCTTCCCACCGCTGCCTCACCTTTGTGTATTTTCGCCATGTGAAATAAGCGGATAGCCTAGTGGTTAAGCGGGCTGACATAAAGCACCATGTTGCTCACGGCGACCTGAGTTGGATTCCCAGCTCGAGGTCCTTTGCCAACCCTTCCCTCTCTCTCTGCTCCCAACTATTTCTTTTCAATTCTCTGCACTATTCTATACATTAAAGGTTAAAACCCCTAAAAAATAATTATAAAAAAGAAAGGGCTTTTTTAAATAAAGAATGTCATAATAATAAATATGCTAATTTGTGCATGACATCATCTTGCAACATTACAATTTTTTCAAGCAGGCTTTGACTACTTTATATTGAAAGCATTTGGCAACACTAATAGCCATCAATGAAAAGCTGGAATTGACTCACTGACCTAAACATGATAACAGCAGCATCATACAAGAATGTCCACAATAAAGATTGACAAAACAAAGAGTTTGCTGCAAGACTACTTGACTGTAACCGAACCAAAAGAAGACAGAGCGCCATAAGTCTTACGATTTTAACTTTCTCCTGAGGATTTAGAGCTGATGCTGGTATGTGTGCGCTGGCCTGGTTCCAGCCGGTAGGGCTCTGATTTGGAGAACTGCCAGCTGCAGACAGATGGATTAAAAAGAAAATTTACCCGCTCCATATTCATGCCCCCAATTAAACTACAGCAACAACATTCCTCATTGGTTTCCCATGAATCTGTTTTGATGTTTTATTCTTACCTGAGCTGTGAACACGTATGGCATCCTAGATGAAATGCAAACAGGAAAAAAAATTAAAATCAACAAAAGAGACAGCACACAACTGCTTTCAGTCATTCAAATCCCAAACACACTGCAAGACAGAGGCTGCGTTCGAAATACAGTATGCATTAAAGACAGTATGCAAGCCGAGTAGCACGTTCAAATTCATGAATGGGAGTAAAGTGACGCAACTGACGTGGGTAGGTCGTGTGAAATGGTAGGTCAAATGGTGGATGTTGTTCGTCTGAATTTAATTTTTTCCACTTGTGTCTGTGATGTTATGATATGCGCAGTTTGTAGACATTTAGACATTACACATGTTCTTCTTCATATTCTTCTAATGTTCTTAACAAACAAATAATGTTAACACTGTCCTGGTTGAACCTAGGATCCAGGTGGAACAATGCGGTTTTCAACCGGGCCATAATACACTTGACCAGCTCTATAACCTAATCAAGGCCCTCAAGGGTTCATGGGAGTATGCCCAACCAGTCCACGTGTTTTGTGGACTTGGGAGTAGGCATTGGACCGTGTCCATCGTTGCATTCTGTGGAGGGTGCTCTGGGAGTATGGGGTCGGAGGCGTATGTAAAATTTTAAGTTTCAGTACTGTGAAGAAGGCTTCACTGTGCACATATTTCTAATTTATGAAGCATCTTTACATACAGTTGAAGGCAGAATTATTAGCCCCCCTAAATTATTAGACCCCGTTTATTTTTTCCCCAATTTCTGTTTAAAGGAGAGCAGATTTTTTCAACACATTTCTAAAACATAATTGTTTTAAGAGCTTATTTCTAATAACTGATTTATTTTATCTTTGCCATGATGACAGTAAATAATATTTGACAAGATATTTTTCAAGACATTTCTATACAGCTTAAAGTGACATTTAAACGCTTAACTAGGTTAATTAGGTTAACTAGGGAGGTCAGGGTAATTAGGCAAGTTATTGTATAATGATGGTTTGTTCTGTAGGCTATCAGAAAAAAAAATTGCTTAAAGGGGCTAATAGTATTGACCTTAAAATGGCTTTTAAAAAAATTACAACTATTTTTAGTCTAGCTGAAACAAAACAAACCAAGACTTCCTCCAGAAGAAAAAATATTATCAGACATGCTGTGAAAATTTCCTTGCTCTGTTAAACATCATTTCGGAAATATGAAAAAAATAATAATAAATCAAAGGGGGGCTAATAATTCTGACTTCAACTGTACAAATTTGTGCAATGAATAAGAAAGAGTAAGAAAAGCTGCATTATATGTCATGATGTGAGAATTTTTTTAAAGAGCCCATATTATGGGTTTTTGAAAATTCCCCTCCATGTAGTGTGTAACACAGCTCTAAGTGAAGTGAAGTATCCAGCTAAGGCTTAAATCTGTAAGAATACAGTGTTTAAAACGGTTGATTCATCTATAAAAGAGTCGACTCATAGTGCTTCAAACGAGTCGCCTTGATACCGACTCATTAGGTGTTTCACCATGACGTACGAACGAAACCAAGTTATTCACGTGCACGCGCAAACCCGGGAGATTTCAAACCTGAGGCCCCGCCCTCTGACGCAGAAACCCAGACACACACACACACCCACAAACACACGCACACCCACAAACACACGCACACAAACATGCCGGTCGATTGAAGTCACACTGCAGATGGATATTATATTGAGTCTCTACCCAAAGATGAAACATCAGCATTATAACCAAGCAGTTGGAAACTTCTGGAAGCTACATGCTACAAAGAATACTTCATCTGAGTTTGTTAAAGGAAGGATCAGTAAAGAGTAACTGATGGACGTCAGGATGGGTTTCTTCCATTTCTCAAGTGTAAGTACGTGCGGTTAAAGTTGTTGCCTCGTTTACTCTAGCTTGCAAATGTATTTAGTTGTGATTTGTTACTTGTAACCGCGTGTACTGTATTAGGTTAACTGGATATATTCTCTTATCGCGTGCAAAGTCACGTTAAAAACGCGACGCGTGCTGTTTGTTTATGGAGCTCCGTGCTAGAGTTCTGCTCCCGCGATTTATTCGGAAATTTATTCCCGCGCAGAAATCTGGCGCGGGGACAGCCGCGAGAGAGAGAGAGAGAGAGAGAGAGAGAGAGAGAGAGAGAGAGAGAGAGAGAGAGAGAGAGAGAGAGAGAGAGAGAGAGAGAGAGCGCGAACGAACGAGCTTTGTGTGCTTTGTGCTGTGTGTGTGTTTATACAGACAGCTTGGCTGTCTGGACTGTATACTCGGTGATTTTTGGTTGTGTTCTCCGCTCTAGCGGGACCGGCGGGCAGAAAACGGAGCGGGTTCTCAGGCTAAAACCTGGCGGGTGCGGGCGGAAGCGGGAGCGTTGTCATCCGGAGGTGTGTGTGTGTTTTTGTGTGTGCGTGGTATGGCGAGTACACGACTGTCTCCTTCGTTCGGTTATCCGTGGCACTATCCACTCGCCATAGTGTGGCAGCTAAAATCCACGTCTACACTATCGAGCGTGTATGAACTGTGATTACTTTTTAAATTGCTGATTAGCTATTGGCCATTTCCCTCTCTGACTGAAGGCAGTCGACCAATCGCGACAGACTGTCATCGGTCCAATCAGCGCAGATTAGCTCCGCGCTAAGGAGGGGTTTGGGAACAAATGAATCACTGGACGATTCATACAGGAGTCGCTGGCATAATTAGGTAAAAATAAATGCAGATTATAAGACCATGAAAGTGTTTTTTGACCTTGCATGCATATTAGACTGTTGTTGGAGACCCTTACAACCAGGATATGACCCTATTTCATGTATAATATGGGCTCTTTAAAGGAAGGACTGTGCTGAAAGATCATATATAGAGATGCGGGGTTCCCACTCTTAGCCAAGCGTCAAATCCCTTAAATTTTCCAAAACTTTCTGTTGTTGCTAGGAGGAATAAAACTGTGGCCGAAAGTTAACGAGAATTATTTATATTATTTATTAAACTATCTATAATTGTATTTAAATAACATCCACCCCAACCCTCACAGTAATGTAAAAATATTCATTATTGTTGAACAGTGTAACAAAAAAGCTATAATGCTATACTGACGAGAGTATCCGCAGCTTATAACATTTAGACTTTACCCTGACTTTCTCTTAATAAAAAAACCCCACGATGAATGGAAAAACAAGGTGCTGTTGTGCTTTGAATGATATTAATATGGTTTAGGATTGAATATAATTTTTATAAATTTAATAGCCACGAGACTGGATAATTTACCTCAGATTTTGAATAAAATGAAAAGTATTTTAATGTATTTGAAGTGGTAGTTTTTGAAGATAAGCACTTGAAATGTAAATTTTCTTGGCATGTTTGTCTTATTTAATTGGTAAAGTTTCATGACTGCATTTCACTTAATTGACTGCCAGTTGATGAATGGCAAAGGAACATAATGGCACTAATAGCCGAGCTGTAACAACAGGTAACATATGAAACATAATTAAAAAAAAAAAAAAAAACATTATACAGTATAAAAAATACATTTGATAAATGGAAGGTAAGATATAAAATGAAAAAAAAAACTTCTCTGACTTTTAATGTCGGGAATAGGCACAATAAAATTCCATTCCATGATATCCCAGAAAAAAATAGTTTGAACAGATTTTATGCAATATATTAACCTCATGGTCACTGCCACTAATTTAGATGAATCCACAAACAAATGTTTCTGCATATAAATATGAATAATCATAATTATTCCTTCAGCTCAATTAATTTAATCCTTATTTCTAAAGCACTTTTTACTATGTAGATTGTGCCAAAGCAGCTTAACATAGATGAAGAAAAGAAGCCATAATACATTCCAGCAATTCAGGCAGGCAGGAGAGTAGTGCAGAATGCTGGTGTAGTTCAAGTAAATTGAAACTGACTACTGATTAGTGAACGAGATGCAGAGATTTTATTTAGCACAGCCAGTTTATGGCTCACTCACACCAAATGCAAGCCACAGCTAAACTTCAGAGAACTGCTTTATTCACAGACAACTGCAGTTCACGTTCTCACAGGTGTAGTAAAGCATATATCTACAAAGCCATGACCTTATGACTGGACAGCAGCTGCATTCTCTTTTAAAACAGCCATACAGAAGAGGAGAAAAGACCTACTCTTCTCTTCAGACTAAACTGTTGACACCAGGAGCTTGGAGATGTGTCTAACTACTCCCAGCATGGTACAACAGAAAGAGGAAAACGAAAGAGAGAGAGTAAGGGCAATTGCAACATATATTAATTAGTTTTAGAAAGCTTTTGAAATTGAAAATTAAAGCCCTGCTCACAAATTTGGAAAATCATTCTATGAAATTTCTATAACCCTAATTGAAAAGATGTAGTTTGATTGTTAATTGGACATGTACTGTCGTAAATTTTGACGTCTTATCATTTAGAAATTATCAGACCGGAGGTTTTAAATATCAGAAAATAGACTTTATTCTCCATAATAAAGCCGAGAAAGAGCAGAGCAGACCCCAGAGCATTCTGAAGTCTCTCCTGGACACCTTCTGAAGTATCTGTGTTTGTTACAATTTTTATACAGGATTATTTGACACACCCCTAAGTCTCTTTTTAACTCTTGACCATTTTTGAATAGGTTTTTAGTCTAAGGCAGTGGTTCTCAAACTTTTTTCATCAAGTACCACCTCAGAAAAAAATTGTCTCTCCAAGTACCACCAAAATGAGCAGTATTGAAATACAGTAGCGTAGTAGGCCCAGTAAAGCAGCTACAACTCTGCACAGTTAAAAAAACGTGGCAGATTACCTCAGAAATATAGGCTATATGTCATATATGACATGTTATATACATAATTTTTTATACATTTTGAAATGTGTGTAGCATGTACATGACATATTTCATTCCTCCGCGTACCACTAGAAGGAAGCCTGCGTACCACTAGTGGTACACGTACCACAGTTTGAGAACCACTGGTCTAAGGGGTCCTGCTATTCTTGGCTCTCAGCCCACTAGCTCATGTCAACAGAGATGTTACAGGTCTATGTCAGCAAAGTATAGATGCAACTTATGCAAAGGAACTAAGTGTTTACATACATTGTTATGATAGGATAATAAGTTGATAATATGTTACTCATTCTAACTTCTGACACATATAGCTTCATAGAAGTATTTAACATAGATGATCAGTGCTTTACATATTCAATTATTCTACACAATCAGTCACTCAGCCTTCTCCTAGTGTTGCTCCTGTGCAGGCATACTCATCTTACACAGTATTTTTAACACACGCTGGCATGTTTGCTGCAAACACTACATACATTTTTACACTTAGAAAATACTTCATACAGAGAGAATAAAATCTTCTTCAGTACACACTCAGTTGCTTATAAGTTTGCTATAAGAAAAGGATGTGCAAGAGGAAAGCCCAGCGTCCTACTCAATATTCTGTTCACCTGGAAGTACATCAACATACTGAAATAAAAATCTCAGCAACATCTGGTTCACACTGAAGCCGCCTTTCCACTGCACACGACATTTGAAAACGACTGTCGGAATACGCCCCCTTGTGGCAGCCGCACAGTATTTTCAGTGTTGTCGTGCACCATGGGGGAGAAGCTGATTCTCATGGTGTCCGAAATAAAAACTGCAAAGAAATAGCCTTTATTTTCTGGGCGCTTACATAGTTTAATAGATGAATGAATACTAGACACTCATAGACCGCTAAAATATTGGAGGGAATGTGGAGACAACATTAAAAAAATATATATTTATTACTTTCTTACTTACATTTATGAACAGAAATGTTTTTCTTAAATATAGACTTTTTATAATTAAAAAATAACCAAATAAACTACTATTTCTCATCTCGCGTGCACGGACCTGCTTGGACAACACTGGAATACATCATATCCGGTCGGCAGGTCGCATGCGGTCTAGTCGCAGGAGTTCAAATATTTCAACGGATCCGCAACTTAATTCGGACCCGAAATTTCTGCATACGGAGATGATCGGAACTCAACGCAGCTCCCGGACTGCTCTCCATTGGAAAAGAATGATTTCCGGTCTGTCGCTTGTCGTTTGTCGTGTGCAGTGGAAAGGCGGCTAGAGAGTCTCCAGGCTCTGGTTTGTCATTACCTCAATCAGGCTGCTGTCAACTGGCACTGTGGTGCTGAGCATGGTGACGTTGGGTGTGGATGTGGACCGCAGTCTCTGTGTCAGAGCCGCTCCAGAGGGAGGGTAAGGGCTGGTGTAATTGGAGACATGAGGGTTTGAATATCTGTGCACAGAGCTAATGGAAACATGTGACAAATGAATACACATCTCTGACTACTGTATGTAAACTAGCAATATTATGCTAAAAGGGTGCTTAGAAATTAAAATATCAAAGCTTAGAGGGTGGTCGAGTTGAATCCTTTAAAAAAAACTGAACTTGGTTTCAGTGAAATTTCTAGTAGATTGTCTTAACAAAGACAAAGTCATGGCTCCACTATTACTAATTGCTGTTATATGACCAAAACAAATTTTCAGTATATTCCTGATTAAAATTATTTCTGTTTATGGTGAATGCTGCTGAATAGGTTAAATGTAAGAGACCACCAGACAACAAACACTAATTATTATAATATATACAGCTGGGAAAAAAAGTATTGAACATGTCACCATTTTTCTCAGAATACATATTTCCAAATTGCCATTGAATTTCCCCCGGATGTTGGTAACAACCAAAAAAAATCCATATATGCAAAGAAAAAAAAATCGAATTAGTTTGCAAATTAGGTTATGCATAATAAAATGAAATGACGCAGGGGAAAAGTGTTGAACACATGAAGAAAGGGAGGTTTAAAGAGACAGTAAAAGCCCGGACAGCAGCTGAAATCTCTCAGTAGTTCTTCAGCAACCCTCTACCCTTTGTCATTGTAAACTAATATTCGCTACTTCAGACCGACATCTACATCAGCAGGAGGATGAAGATAAAACTAGGATGGACATTTCAGCAAGGCAATGATCCAAAACGCAGCCAAGGAAACTCTCAAACGCTTTCAGAGAAATTAAATCAATCTGTAGAATGGCCCAGACGAGACCCACGGAACCATCAAGATTTTTACACCCTGTTGAAGTCTGTGAAAAAGTCACACCTGAGCAATGCATGTGACTTCGTTCTTCATATAAAGGGCATCTTATGTATTTCGGTTTTGGGGTCATGGTTCTGTCAGGGTTCTGCCACTCTGGTCTTGTAAATTCTTGTTTTGGTGGCAGATCTCGGACACTACCTGTGTCTGGTCCTGTTTCTGTCTCTGTGTGCGCGCGCGCCGTCGTGGGTGTACGCAGAGTGTGCGCGCTCCTGCTTGACGTGGCCACGCGCGAGCTCTGCGTCCCTCAGATGCGTGCGCTCTTGTACTCGTGTTTGTGTTTTCGTCTGTCAGCAGCGTGGTGTTTCATTCCCAGCGTCTCAGTCTTGTTGGTTTCGGTTTTGGTCGGCGCTGGGATGAAGCATGCACGCTGCGTGTGTGAGCGCACGGTGAGTGTTTTAATTCATCGTGTGCTCATGTCTTGCGTCTTTTGTCAAAGCACGTGGCTCGGTGTTTACATTGTTGTCACGTGCTTTTGTCGTGTGCTTCAGTGTTGTGTTATGTGAGCGCATGGCTTGTATTGTCTCTCTGTGTCATGCGCTCTCCCGTCTATTGTCTAGTCCTACCCTCCTTGTTTACTCATTATTAGTTTGTCATGTTCACCTGTGTGTCAATTTACTTTTTGCTTTATAATCCCCCTCATGTTTTCAGTCATTTGCCTGTTCGTCGTCGTTATTTCCATGTCGTGTGCTATCCAGTCCTGTTTGTCCTGCCAGCCCATCCAAGTTTGTTTGAGTGTTTGTTTTATAGTTATGTTTTTCCCCCTCGGGGTGGTTTTTGTTCTAATTTTGTTTTATTTTTATTATCAATAAATCATCCTGTTTGCACTTGAGTCCTCGCTCCCTCATCCTTCCTGAACCCTGACAGGTTCAACATGGGTACGGTACAACAGGAACAATAACAGATCCCCAGTGCTTGCTTTGTCAGTTTATTCAGCTTGCACAGGGTTCTTGCACCAATTAAAAGTCAAATTTAATGCTTTTTAAGACCTCAACAAATAAAATTTAAGACCCAAAAATTTTAGAATTTCTTTGGAATAGTCTACTAAGTTTAATGTCCTTGTTAGATTTAAATGAATTGTCTCATCACAGTATGGATAACCCACAGTAACTGCCTTTTGGGTGTCTGGCGTTGAAATGAAATTGTTATAGGCCCGATAGGGACGGAGCCTGACAAGTACATATTGACTGACAGATTTTAAAAAGCCTGAACCAGTTTAAAGCTCGACATTATTTAAATATAGATGGTCCAGAATTGACAATAGTGAATTTACATTTTATTAAAATGTTTTTCATGGTCCAGGATCAACAAAAGTGAATTTACACTGTATTTAAATGATGATGGTCCAGGATCAACAATAGTGAATTTACACTGTATTTAAATGATGATGATGGTCCAGGATCAACAAAAGTGAATTTACACTGTATTTAAATGATGATGATGATCCAGGATCAACATTAGTAAATTTACACTGTATTTAAATGATGATGATGATCCAGGATCAACAATAGTGAATTTACACTGTATTTAAATGATGATGATGATCCAGGATCAACAATAGTGAATTTACACTGTATTTAAATGATGATGATGGTCCAGGATCAACAATAGTGAATTTACACTGTATTTAAATGATGATGATGGTCCAGGATCAACAATAGTGAATTTACACTATTTAAATGATGATGATGGTCCAGGATCAACATTAGTGAATTTACACTGTATTTAAATGATGATGGTCCAGGATCAACAATAGTGAATTTAAACTGTATTTAAATGATGATGATGGTCCAGGATCAACAATAGTGAATTTACACTGTTTTTAAATGATGATGATGATCCAGGATAAACAATAGTGAATTTACACTGTATTTAAATGATGATGATGATCCAGGATCAACAATAGTGAATTTACACTGTATTTAAATGATGATGATGGTCCAGGATCAACAATAGTGAATTTACACTATTTAAATGATGATGATGGTCCAGGATCAACATTAGTGAATTTACACTGTATTTAAATGATGATGATGGTCCAGGATCAACAATAGTGAATTTACACTGTTTTTAAATGATAATGATGGTCCAGGATCAACAATAGTGAATTTACACTGTATTTAAATGATGATGGTCCAGGATCAACAATAGTGAATTTACACTGTTTTTAAATGATGATGATGGTCCAGGATCAACAATAGTGAATTTACACTGTTTTTAAATGATGATGATGATCCAGGAT